GCAGTGTTCTGGGAAAGATGTGCCTTGGGTTTCGAGGAAAAGGTGGTGGGAATGGTGTTGGTGAAGGGGCCAGCAGGATGGTTATGAAAAGCTGAGGGATTTGCCAATAGCAGGTCTACTCAGAGAAACCCCTACCCCACCCTACCAGCCTTCAGAGTGTTGCTCCTGAGCACCCGGGTGGGGAGACCCAGGGCAGAGGCCCTCAGGGTGGGCTTCAAGGTAGCTGGAAAGACAGAAATATAAGCAGGGGGAGGAAGCATAATGTGATGCTCTGGGAGAGAGCCCAGGCTGGTCTGGCAAGAAGCAGGTTGTTCGGGTGCAAAGGACCTGGGACAGAATGTCACAAGGCCCTCGTCAGACTCTGCCACCAGCTTGCAGAGGATCATCAAGCAGCCACTATTTCTTCCAGCCCATGTAGCCACAGAATTCATTAACCTGTGCCCAAATTCCCCTTAGAACTGGTTTAGGACAGGGCTTGACAAAATACAGCCTAGGGATCAAAAGAATGGCCACCTGTCACCATGTTGCTTAGAAGCCAAATACAGCTTTTACACATTAGAATCATATCATTGGAAAAAAACAGAAGAGCAATATTTTGTGATGCATGAAATTCAAGTTTCAGGGTCCCTACTGAAGTTTCATAGAATGTAGGTACATCCATCCATTTGGACTCTGTCCTGAAAAGTCAGAGCTGGGAGGTTGGTCACCATGGACTCTGCAGACTGCAAAGTTAAAATAGCTGCTCTCTGGGTATTCATGTGGAAGGCTCGTTGTTGACTCCCTGTCTAGAACTGAGCATCCCCTGTGGGTTCTAGCAGCTTGTCAGAGCAGCTGCTCTCTCTAGCCCCTGACCAAGCTAGGGAGCCATGATCCATTAAGTGACTTACAGAGCCTCCTGGTAAGGATGAAGGAGATAACAGCAGGAGAAACACAAAGTAGCGGCAAGGAATCTGCAGAAGGGAAAAGAGGCACGAGAAGACCTGTGGTAAGAGAGTGGGGATCCCAGAGGATGGCGCCTCCACAGTGGATAATGTCAGGGCAGTGGCCCCTGTTCAAGGATGCTCTCTGAAGGGTGCTGCAGGGAGAAGCGCTGTGCTCTTCAGTGGAACTGAGCCTGGCTGACCTGCTGAGTGTCTTAATCCCTGCTGAAGGGTATTTTCCATCTGGGAGCAAAGGTAGCTGTCCCTAACACCTGTCTGTAGTTGGTGTAGGCCATATCCTAAGGAAACCCCCGACCTTAGGAGCAAGCATATGCTCTGGAACACAACACACTCTGGTTGCCATAAGATTTTTACCTTTCTGTCCACTGGACGCTTTTCTAGGTCAGGAGTAGGTAAACAGGCCTGGGGAGCCCCAGCTAATCCACTCCATTTTTGTAAGCAAAATTTTACTGGAACATAGTACTCTGTTGAGTAAGTCACCATGCTGGTTGTGTGCCATCATGGTGGAAGCCAGTAGTTCCAAACAAAGCCAAACATAGCTATAGAAAAGGTTGACTGACCCTCACACTGGACTATCACAAGGCTTGTTCCTTCTCAGTGTGGTATTTCTGCTCAGAGTCCCCTCTCCATAAGAATAAGGATTAAGGGGCTAGAGAGATGTCTCAGCAGTTAAGAGCACCAAGTGTTCTTACAGAAGACCCAGGCTTGAATCTCAGCACTCACATGGCAACTCTATTTCCAGGGAATCTGAAGGCCTCCTCTGTCCTCCACGGGCACTGCACAACACAGGTACACTTACATACCTCCAGGCATAACACTCATACACATAAAATAAAAATAAATTTTTTTTAAAGTACAAGGATTAGGCCTTTAATCCCAGCACTTGCCAGATAGAGGCAGGCGATCTCTGTAAGTTCAAGACCACCCTGGTCTACCTAGTGAGTTCCAGGCCAGCCAAGACTACATAGTGCGACCCTGTCTTAAGAAAACCAAAAAAAAAAACAAATAAAAGAATAGGAATTAGCTCCCACCTTCTTTTCTTCAGAGCAGTTACTACTCCCTGAAAATATACATTGACTTCTTACTATAATTTAAGCTCCAAGGGCTTTGGTTTCCTGATGTATGCCAAGTGCCTGAAGTGAAAGAATGAGTCACAGTGGGTGCCCCTCTCCAGATGAACTCGGAAAGGCGCTCCCAGACTCTGGCCCATTGGTGCTTACTCCTGGCACTTGGGGAGTGAGTGTTGAGCGAGTGAGCCCAGTGTTTCAGGCAGTTTATCACATGGTCTTCTCTGCTTCCCCTGCTTTCTTAGGGGCCCTGAGAAGCAATGGCCACAGAAGACCCTGTGAACCTAGCACCACCCGAACACAGCACTGTGGTCAGCACGGCAGCGGACAGCTTCTTCTGGAAGCCCAACTCGCTCAGCATGCACGTCATCAGGCCCAGGTCTGCCAAAGGTCGGAAGCAGCCAAGCCTACACAGACCCCAAGGCACCGGGGAAGGCTTCTCCAGTGGGGAAGGCTCTTCCAGTGTACCGGCCTGTTCCCCTCCACCCTGTGCCTCTGAGTTGCCAAGTAGCCAGAAAGCCAGAGCCTGTGCGCCTGTCTCTCCACCTCAGGGAGTCCCTAATGAGATCCCTGAGCTGCTGCAACAAGTGCCCATTGGGGCCACCTCGTCCCTCAATAAGTACCCAGTCCTCCCTTCCATCAACAGAAGAAGCCTAGAGGAGGGGGCTGTGGACACAGTGGCCAGAAAGGCCAGTTCACTGCAGCCGAGCAGCATCCAGGCCCTTTATCATGAGGAGGCTCGCACGACTTGGAGGGCGAGCCAAGAAGATTCCAGAGTTCAAGTCTGTGCCCTAGAGAAGAAGTTCATCATCCGAACCAAGAGGCAGAGCTCCTCCTGGGCTGCTAACCTGGAGGAGCCATCAGATCAAGAGCCAAGGCTGCTGCTGGCTGTCAGATCACCGTCAGGGCAAAGGTTCGTGCGCTACTTCAGGCCCACTGATGACCTACAAACCGTCATTACAGTGGCTGAGCAGAAGAACAAAGCCACCTACCAACACTGCAGTATTGAAACAATGGAGGTGCCCCGGAGACGTTTCTCTGACCTCACCAAGTCCTTGCAGGAGTGTGGCATCCTTCACAAGTCAGTACTTGGCATCTCCCAGGAAGAGAGGGAGCGGTGGCCTTGAGCCCACAGTACCAGGGGCCCCAGGTCTTTAAGCAAAGAGCATGCTGGGAGTGCCGAGGCCTCCCACATAGCCTGATTCCAAGTGCCATGTGAGCCCAGTGCAAGCTGGGATCCCTTGGGCCTTGTCTCTATATCGTGTCCTTGGAGGCAGGGTCTGCCCGTGTGCTGAGCCCCCTGGGAAACTCCCTTCCAGCCTCATGTTCTCTCCACTACTGCAGCAACAGGCAAGTTCTAGGGCCGTTCCAGAAACAGCTGCAGCCAGGACTTCTCCCTTCCAGCGTTGGCTCCTTCTAAAACCATGATTGCTCCTAGAGCACCTTCCGCCCTACAATGAACTCTGGGTCTCTTGAAGCTACCACTTTGCCTTTCTGTATCTGACACGGGATTAAATACTTCCCGGAGAAGATTCTAGTCTGCTAAATAACCAGGGTTTAGAAAATTTCAAATTGGCATTTGTATTTCTTGCAAGTATCTTAAAAAACAGGCTGCTGATCCATTTTTAGAAGCTACCCCTCTACTAAGCTGAAGGATGAGAGTTTCTTGAGGGTTCACTATTGGTGTGGGATGCCATCAAAGGGAAGAACAGATCTTCTGCCATCACAAATCCCCCCATATATCTATCTACATTTCAGAAGCAGCCCTAGAGCTAGAATATACTACAGCCATGGTCTAGCCAAGGCTACTTTTGAGTAGACAAACTAGGTTTCCACTTCTTGGTAGCACCTGTCTATGTGCAGAATTTTTCCCGAGTGGAAATATGATTCGCTAGCCTGTGCTTTTGTCAGAAATGGAATCGTTTGTTTTTAAAATGCACACACCTATGAGTCTGTCCAAGTCTGTACTAATGACCTCTTGGCCGACCTGGGCATGGACAGTTGTTTTCATTTGGTAGGCTCGGTGTCTTACTCATCAGTCATGGGAGGTCTTTGGCACAACAGCTCACCCTGTGGTCTGATGTCAGGTTCTCTTAGGAGGAAGGCACCTTGCTGGTTTTGTTGAGACAGACCACAGCTATATGTCACTGGCTGGTTGGCCTGCAGTGCCCCTGATCACCTTACTGACAGCTGTCTCAAGCAACATGAAGTCTTGTTTTTCCCACTCTGAAGTGGGAATGTGGATAATTTGCCAAAATTCTCTTGTATTGCGGGCTCAGCCAGACACCCATAACTCATCTGGATCCCTTTATGGCCAAATCCCCATTCGGTATTGGGAACACTCCGACCTTCTGAGCACCTTGTGCCCCACAGAGCACAACCATCACACAGCTCTGGGTACTTATGCCCCTGCCTCCTCAGTACACAGATAAGGCAGGGATCAGGAGTTCTAGAAGTCTCTAAGTGTTATTACCTCAGCAACAAGGGCATCCTGTGCATCAACAAAGCCAGCTGTTAGAAATGCTTCTAGCACACTGCCCCTTGGTGCTAGCGGTGACTCTGAGGAATGCTCACCCTGCCCCAGCCATACCCCACACCCCTCAGATCAATCTAGACTAGGTTACCCCTTACCATTTACAAGATTTAATGCCATCCTGGCCAGGTCAGCTGCTCCTTTGGAAAGGTCAGCTGGGGCTGGCTTTGACTCAGCAGACCCATGCCACTGGACCCCTCATGTACTTACCAACAGTGGTGGAACGGACTGATAGCTTAAACCTGGACCCCTCTAGCACAGGAATGTCACCTCTCCCAGCCCCTCAGGATACAAGTGCACAACTCCACCTCTTCTCTAGCAGCCCACTGAGAGCCTCCTATAATCACACCCACTCTGTAGTAAGAGCACAATCTCACCCACCCGCAACTTGGGTGCTGTCTCCAAACAAAAGCTTTAGCACACCCCGGTGAAATGGACCATGCTTGCCAGAGTTAGAAATTCCTGCATTTAGTTTTGCTGCTTCTTTTGGCTTAGAACTTTGGGGTGGTGGGAAAAAAGACACATGAGACATAGAAATATTTTAGGATATTTTAGGAGATGCGAAGAAAGCTAGATTCGAGCCATCATAATCTTTCTCATTTTTATTTTCTCGGGACAAAAGATGATACGAACAATAAAAGCTGATTTGTGTGAAACAACGTGTGGAAAAAACACATCTTACATTTTAGCCTAAGACGTCAGCCACCAGACTCGAGCGCAAAGAGGTGCCCGTGAATCCCATTTTTGGGTTTCTCCCTGGGAAAGCACCTGCCCTACCATTAGAATCAAGTCCTCCTCCTCACACACTTCAGATGCCCGCAGTAGAAGATCCTTCATGCCTGCCTCTAGCTTCCATGCTTGCATGTGGCTTGGGAGGAGTCTCCTCAATCTCCCCAGCCTTCCCCTACCTTCTAAGTATTCCTGTGGCATTGGGAACCCTGGCGCCGTGGGCCCCGCTGAATCAGTATGCTTATCCTGGTGACTCTATAGGCCAGTCTCACCCAGTTTGTGGTCACAGATCTTATTTAACCAGCAGTCTTACAGGGCCTTCCCTGTAGAGACTCAGTGATAAGCATCCTCACAGGACACTGTTGGTAAGAGAATACGAAACACCACTGGACACTCAACACAGACCTTCTAAGGTCAGCAGCTCAGCTGTACCTATGAAGAACCCAGGCAAGGGGGTCAAATGACATCTCTGTGTCTTCTCCCTACCACTTCAAATACAACTTCCCCACCATTTCTAGTGATGCATTGGTAAGACTGCTTATCATGGACATGAACTTTTCAGAGGACAGAGCTTTGTGGCAAGTTGTTCCAGCATATTCCCTGATAAAGCCCAACCAATAGGTAAATTAGT